AAAAATAGAAGTCTGTTTAGTGCGTGAGCCATTTTTAGAACAAGTATTTTCACGGGGAGAGAAAAAAAGCCAGCAGGAAAAAAAGAATCCTTCCACATGAATACTATGCTGCGGTCCTCACTGATGTGAATGAACAAAGTGTTCCATCTTTGTTCATGAGGCAGCATGCTGCAGAGCCAGCACAAACTTTCATTACATGGCTTTAAACAGCCAGGAGTCCATTAATATCTCAGGTATTTTATGTTATGGATATCATAACTGTTTAACAGTTTTTTTTATACTAAATAATTATTTGCAGGCTGCCTTCTTCATCTGAAAAATTCTAAAGATACACTTTGGTCTCCTTGGTATACCCATAACTTTGTTGATTAAAACAAAAAAGATAAAAGACATTAACTCGATCATTAGTTGATGTTTTTTCTAAAATTACAGCAGTCAATAACTTAAAGGCAAGCCTGCATCTGGTATCAGAATGAAAGTAAACTCCACCATACAGGTTCTTTGTTATTAGCTCGACAAAAACATATTCTACTTGCAGAATAAAGAAAAAAAAAAGATGCAAAAAAAAAAAGTTAACCTTTTCAATACTGGACATTTTTCTAAGGTCTCAAATGTTGTGTATATGAGTTTATTTTTCATTAAACTAAATGAAGCTAGACATTTGAAAACCTGTTCAGGGACAAACAAGGACAAGTTAAGTGAAAATGTAAATTTAAAAAGCTTACTTTTAATGATGCAAAGACCAATTTACAACTTTTACCAATTTTGACCAATTTTACAACAAAAAAACGTTTGTAGTCCTCATTAAATTACAGAAAAACCCACAACTGTCACACAAATAACTTCAAACTGACCAAAGTATTGATGAATAACAATTACACAAAGGTTAACAGATAAAAGTCAGGCATTGTTTTTCCTTTTCTCAGTAGGAGTTAAGTCAGGGTAATAGAAGTCCTCTTCAGAATAGTCCAATGTTGTTTTTTTTAGCCATTCATGGTTGTTTTTAGCTGTTTGTTTTGGTTCATTATCTGGTTGCAGACCTTGCAGACCCAAGACCTGAGACTAAGCTTACTGAGAATGGGCAGCACATTTCTTTTTAGAATCCCTTGAATCACATCCCTCTTGTCATTCTATTGTGTGTTGTCTATTGTATCCTGTGTAAGATGAAGCAAAGCAGCCCCGGTACAACATGGAGCCTCCTTCATGTTTCACAGTAGGGAGTGTTCCTTTCTTAATATGCCTTTTTTTTACTGTCTCTGAACATAATGTTAATGTGCCTTGGTAAAAATGTAAATTTCTGTGTCAACTGTCCAAACCACATTCTCCCAGACTTTTTGTGGCATTTCAATTTTGTTACCATTAATTTTATCCATCCCTTTGATTTGCCATAAATATTCCTCCTGCAGTCACATCCATGAAGGTTGGCCACAGTCTTATGGATCTTAAATCTCTGAATATATTCAACAGTAGTCACAGGAACATCAAGCTGCTTGGAGATAGAATGATAGCCTTCACCTTCAACATGCTATAACTTTCTTTCTAAACCCCTGAGACAACTTTTCTTCACATATAGCATCAAGTTAATTAAACTTCTGGGATATTGATTTGGTCAGGTAAGTAGCAGAAGGGGTTGTTAATCAGTTTCAGCTGCTTTGGAGTTAATGAAATTAACAACTGGTGCACTAGAGGGGCAACAACGAGACGACCATCAAAACAGGAATGGTTTTACAGGTGGAGGCCACTGACATTTTTTCCCCTCCTCATCTTTTCTGACTCTTTTTCACCAGTTTTGCATTTGGCTAGGGTCACTGTCACTACTGTTAGCATGAGGCGCTACCTGGACCCTACAGAGGTTGCACGGGCAGTCCAACTCCTCCAGGATGGCACATCAATACGTGCCATTGCCAGAAGGCTTGCCGTGTCTCCCAGCACAATCTTAAGAGCATGGAGGAGATTCCAGGAGACAGGCAGTTACTCCAGGAGAGCTGGACAGGGCAGTAGAAGGTCTACAACCCATCAGCAGGACCGGTATCTGCTCCTTGTGCAAGGAGGAACAGGAGGAGCACTGCCAGAGCCCTACAAATTTATCTCCAGCAGGCCACTGGTGTGAATGTCTCTGACCAAACAATCAGAAACAAACTTCACGAGGGTGGCCTGAGGGCCCGACATCCTCTAGCGGGCCCTCTGCTCACTGCCCGGCACCGTGGAGCTCGATTGGCATTTGCCACAGAACACAGGAATTGGCAAGTCTGCCACTGGCGCCTTGTGCTTTTCACAGATGAGAGCAGGTTCACCCTGAGCACATGTGACAGACGTGAAAGGGTCTTGAAAAGCCGTGGGGAACGTTATGCAGCCTTTAACATCGTTCAGCAGGACCGGTTTGGTAGTGGGTCAGTGATGGTCTGGGGAGGCATATCCATGGAGGGACGCACAGACCTATATAGGCTAGACAACGGCACCCTGACTGCCATTAGGTGTCGGGATGAAGTCCTTGCACCTTTTGTCAGACCCTATGCTGGTGCAGTGGGTTCTGGGTTCCTCCTGTACACGACAATGCCCGGCCTCATGTGGCGAGAGTATGCAGGCAGTTCTTGGAGGATGAAGGAATTGATACCATTGACTGGCCCCAACGCTCACCTGACCTAAAACCAATAGAACACCTCTGGGACATTATGTTTCGATCCATTCAACGCCGCCAGGTTGAACCTCAGACTGTCCAGGAGCTCAGTGATGCCCTGGTCCAGATCTGGGAGGAGATACCCCACAACGCCATCAGTCATCTAATAAGGAGCATGCCCCGACGTTGTCAGGCATGCATACACGCACGTGGGGCCCATACAAATTCCTGAATACCATTTTGAGTTGCTGCAATGAAATATCAGCAAAAAGCCTGCCAAATCACTTTTTTCACTGTAATTTTTGGGGTGTCTTTGAATACAGCCCCCTGTAGGTTGATAGTTTTCATTTCCATCAAATGATGTGGCATCCTTTTGTTCCTAACACATCACCCAATTCCATATCAGTATAAATAAAAAGCATTATTTTATTCCCCACTGAGATCGGATGTGTTTTGTAAAGTGTTCCTTTAATTGTTTTGAGCAGTGTGTGTGTGTGTGTGTAAGTGTGTATATACATATATATATATATACATAGGCCCCGTGACTGATTACAAGATTGCAGACACCTGTGATGCTAATTAGTGGACATACCTTAATTTAACATGTCCTTTTGTTCATTTTTTTTCTAGTGCTACCACTATTTTTTTTCAAGGACTTTTTCATACGCTTTTTAAACCATTCCAAAGCATAGCTGAGAATCAACGTCTGACTTTTATCTGTTTATTTTCTTAGAATTATTCTTTTTATTTTTGTCAGATTCAGGTTATTTCTGTGATCAATGAGGGTTTTTCTTTCATTAAATGAAGGGTATCAACAATTTTGCTCACATGTATTTAACAGTCTGATGACAACCAGTAAAAAAAAAGATGTTTTTGCTAGTTAGTATTCCTTAATGTTTTCTAGCATAGGGTGCATAGATGGCCAAGCGTTATGGGAAACTAATGTTTGGGCATTTCATTCATTATAAACATACATTTAATGTCATATTGGACCATGGAAAAATATTTAAATGACACATTCTGCTATCTAGATTTAGATAAGACAATAGTTTGCTCCTTAGCTACATACACGTTTTTCAAATGTAAAAATTTGTAACAAAATAGTTCAGTGCTTGCAATATATTTGTAATTAGTTGTTATATGTGATAACAAAAACCTCAGAAACTACCAATGATCTGAGGATACGTCTCTGACTTATTTTGTTCAAGCAAGAATGGATGAAGCTTAGCACCAAAAATAATACAATTCATTCCAAAGAATTCAGGATCTGCATGTTGTAATATGAAAAAAGGTTAATATTCCCAGAATATTGTAAATGCTACCCTTTCCTTTAAAAACAATGTCTCATCAGTACCTAATATTCCCTTTTGAATTGGAATACTATAAAATGGTGCCATTACAGCATAGAGGGGATGTTGTAGAAGCAGGTAAGTTGTGTATGGCAACAAAAGGTCCAGCAGCACCACCAAGAGGTCAGAGTTCTGTTTACTAGAGGTTTTATCGAGAAGTTTAAATCAGCACTTCATAGCTATAAGCAGATGCTGTCTGTAGATAAATTGAACCTAAAAAACAAAAATAAACAACAACACTGTTTTAACACTGAGAAAGAAAAGGAAATCCACACATTGACTTTAATACTGTACATTTAATACAGATGTAATTTTTTTATAGACTGACAAATCCTTTTATGCCAGGTAATTTCCCCATGTTGATTAGCAAATGGTACAGCATATAATTTTTTACCCTTTTATTTTTAAATTAGCTCGTAGCAAAATCAGTTTGTAGGTCCCATATAAATAGGAATGATAAAAAGAAAAAGTGCATAAACCGAGAATTCCCATTTATTTAAAGAAGCACAGAGAGGGCATTTATCGCTCAATTAAAACTCGTTTAACTTCTGAGTTTAGAAGCAGATTCCCGTTTATCTCAGCAAAAGGTATTTGCCAAACACTGTATAACATCCCTTTCAGTTAGAATTTTAATAAGTTATATTTAAGTCTTGCACCACCTTTAAGACGATTAAATGGCATTATTCTCTAGAACAGCAGAGCAAAAACATGGTTATTATTGATGTTGTTTTTCCATTATCAGAATGTCTTCAAGAAGGACGATAATAAGTCTTCTGGTTGGCCCAGGCTGAATTAAAAGTTACACCAGAGGTATTTGAACTTTAAAAGCATTACTCACTTAGATCCCCGTTATATTTTTTAAGAAAAAATAGAAAACAAAAACATGATATTCACATTACGCATTGTTGATTGATAAATAGGAAAGGTCTTGCAGATGTGGGACTAATCAATCTACATTTATACTCAATTGTAGGGGTGGGTTTGACCACCAATGCAGAAAAAAGGGCCTGGATTACACAACATTCTGACAGATGTTTTTTTTTTTTTTTTTTTACTTTCCTATGTTGTCAATTTCTGAAATTATTTTGCGGTAGAGAACGTCTGCATGTATGTGACGTGTTCACGATAACTGGATATGCCTGAGATCAGGGTGAAGGCTGACGACGCTCTCTCTTGGTCAGGAGGTAACACTGGATGGTCCTAAGACGATCTTTGGCTGGGGCAAACTCTGGCTGTAGCTTCAAAGTGGACTCATACCAGTGCATGGCTTTCTCAAACTCCTCCTGTTATCAGGAAAAAAAAAACACAATGTGATCAAAAAGGAGAAATTGTTTAAGGTGCTTTTACATCACCAGCTAAACAAGGCCAGAGATACTGAGTATTTTATATCGTTATGAGAACAAACACGGTTACCATTGCAATATAGACGTTGGCAAGGGTAAAGTGGTTCACAACAAAGTGCGGTGCAATCTCTACAGCCATGCGGGCTACTGTTAGGGCATCCTCCCATAACCTAGCATTTTGAAAGATGTTGGCCAAGCTGATGAGTGGTACATCCTGATTCAAGAGCAGAAGGAAATACAATAAAAATGTGTTATTTATACACATACTAGCTAAAATAGAAAAAACAAAATTATTGAGTCTAACATGCCTTCATGTGATGAGGGGCATAGTTGAGGGCTTGCCTCAAGCAGTCGATGGCTCTCTTGCCTTGACCTTTCACTCTCCAGTACAGTGCAGCCATGCTGGATAATACCCAAGATGTCTGATTCTGATTGGTGACAAAAATACTTTAATTAATCAAGTCAGAAGGTGTTAGTATCTTTTTAGTCAATTTTTTCCTCTGACACTACTTTAAACAGTACAGAAAAACTTTCTTTTTTACAACTGTAAAAATAAGGAAACAAGCAAACTAAAAAACTGTAAAGTTCTTAAACTCTGATGGTTGCCAGTCTGTAAACTTTGTTTTTTGTTTATCTCTAAAATGACAAAAAACTGACTTATAAAAGGACTGAAGACTGGTTTACTGTTCGTAATACAGTACTTACCTTTTCCAAAACTTTAGCAATGCGTGTTCCCACCTGCTCAAATGATTGGGGAGGAAACTTATCTTTACCAAGGTTCTGCAGGACCTTAAGAGATAAAAAAAAGCCACCAGTGAGGCTTAAAATAAAATATGACACATGGGCTACACAATATACTGTAGTCCTTTGAAGAACTTAGAACGTAATACCATATTTTGGACTTTATTAAATAACAGAATAAGAATGACTTCTAACAACATTAATATGATAACAGCAGCTAACAGCTTTCTAAAAGCCATTTTGCAGCTTCAATCTCAGACATAGTGACTGAACTTATTTTGCTTATTAGTACAATAAATGGTCTGAGCTCCAGTGTACCTCTCGCAGCTGGGCTTCCCCTGTGTAGTGGATGGAGGCACGGTTGGCTACACCTCCCAGGTGGTCAAGGGTGTGCATACTGGCAGCTAGGTTGGCATTGCATAAAGGCTCAGCTGCAGGCTCTTGGAGCGGGGTTGCAAAGTCAATGTGCTCTGTGATGCTACAGAAGGAACACACACTTGTAAAACATGCTGCTAATTCAACATGAGACGTAATCTAAGTACAGTGATTGTGGCTGTGTTTACCATTTTGACAGACTTACTCAATATTCTTGGCAGAAACAGCCAACCAAGTACTAGCGACAGTAGTGAGGTCAACCCTCCGTGTACGCTGGCACTCCTCTGGTCCAGGCCAGCCAAGACTTGTATAGTCTCTCCAGCGACCTGCTCAGAAAGCACAAAATAAATCCAAATAGTGAACCTTTCACTTTGTTTCTGCTGTTGCAGGTGCAAGGAAAGTGTTTTTTGTTGTTGTTTTTTTTGCTACCTGAAGGACCAGGAGATGGAATAGTTGGACCACTGATTTCCAGGACAGAGCTGCCTCCAGGTAGAAACTCCTCGTTCTGACCCTCTTCGGAGACGGTAACACTCTCTGATCCATCTGCCTTAGCCTTCCGCACCCGCTTTACCTGGAAGGTGATCTAAACACAGGGAGAAATAACCAAAAACACATTTAGCTAATCTCAAAAATCACTTAAATCACTTTTCTCCAACTATTGTTAATACTTAAGAGCAGCAGCTTTATTTCCACACTTACCCACTCTGCTCCATCATCATCCTCACAGTTTCCAAAACATGGTCCGCTTCCAGCACGGGCCCCCATGACTCGGTCATTCTTCAGCACTCTTATACCTTGTAAGTCTCCACGTTTCCCTCCCACATCCAGTGCTCCCTCGAATGCTCCCATCAGGTCCTCCTTCAGCTGCCACTCATCCTCTTTCTCCACTCTTCCTTCTCCAAAGGATGAAGACATTTTGGAAGTTCCTGCGTTGGAGGGAGATGCCTGCTGCTGTGTCTTTGCTTCACCTGAGCCATTACTGTCCAGGACGACATCTGGACAAAGAGGCAGAATTAACAACAAGAAAAAATTAAATGAGGATCAAAATGTCATCTGCAGTCAACATTTTTAGCCATTACAGATTATTAACAAAACCAACAGCATTATTATGAGATTAAACTAACAAACAAAACGGTTTTCAGCTCTGGTAATAAATGCATGAAATGTTTATTTCTACATAAAACTTTATGTCCTGTTTGCCTCTTTGTCTCAAATACTGATGAAAATCTGTTGTAAGGAAAAATCAAAATGAGTAGAACTGGAAGCAATGTCCTTATACTAATGGATGTTTGATGTAACAAAATAAGGAAAAGTTGACATGCTTTCATTTTAGTTTTTTTATAAAATGAAATGTGAAACCTCATAATACTAAATGAACAGAATTTTCCCAAAATGTATCTAGAATTAAACTATTTCCAACAGTACTTTTTAGATTTATTATTTTTTTTTTATTGTAATGGAGGCATCAATGAAAATCAGTTCTTACTCTCAAAGAGCAGCGTGTCTTCAATAGCAGGACTAGCAGTTCCATCTGGTCGCTCTTCGCTGTCCTCCCATTCCTCCAGCTGTATGCTGAAGTCTTCCTCAGTCAAGCAGGGTTTATCCTCTGGATCACCACAAACAAATCTCCAGTGAGGATATAAAGCTTTATTACTTTGTTAAAATCCATATTAAAGATTTATAAAACATAATGTAAAATAACCTGTTAACTTCAATGCAGATGTTAAGTTCTGATTATAATACAACCTAAACAATAATAGACTTTTTTAAGCAACTGTGGAAGAGTAATTTGCACTAAACCTGAGTGAAACAGGAAAGGGCTGATTTTTACATTCACAAGGAATCCGGAAACCTATTTGACAGCATAATCCAAAAAATGTAATATTTAGGGAAACAAAAAATACGCTCCTTTTTTGAGCACAAAAAATTATCTCTGTTACGCTTACTTCAAGGCTTGGAATTGCATTTAAAAATCGTCTCTATTTATAAACAGAAAGTAAACGGCTGTACAATTTCGATTAGTAGATTATCTTAAAAACAGACCCAGTGATTCCTTATTTTAAGAGAATGAGCAAAGAAGTCGATATGTTTCTGTTCAAATAGCAAATAACCACCTATTTAATCTTTAAAAGGCTACTTGCTATCGAAATCCGACTCTAACTTAAACACTTGCCTAAAGGTAGGCCTGTTTCAACAGAGCTAACAATATTTAGCTTCAGAGAGTTAAATATAGTCCTATCTAAAGTTACCATTAGCTATTTTCGGGTGCTTAAATTATTGAGTGGGAGAATTTCTCCACTTAAAGGCACTTTTCTCCTCAGCTGCACTAAAAAAAGAAACCCGTTTCTGTTCAAATAAAGAATACATCATGTAGTACAGCATTTTTATAGCAACTCTGCCAGCTCTCAGTAGGGACAAAGAGAGGGGTTATAACGGGCGAGTCTTATATCACACAGACACCAGTTAGTTTATCTTTTCAACAGAAAGCAGTTGTTTAGACCTCTGTGAAAAATCTCTGTGCAGATGCTACAAAAAAACACTGTGGTAGTTGGCAATCAACTTGTTGGCTTATAACGCCACCTTGTGGCTCTGTAACAAGCACATTAAATGCAGTGGACCTGTTAAAAACTGAAAAAAAAAATATCAAAAGGCCTTTTTATTGTTTAAGATCAGTAAATCTTTACAATTTTTAAATATTAAAAGCTCGACAAATGATGACAGGTAGTAATTCATTTTAAAGAAAAAAAATACATTGAATGTATTTAGGTATATAACGTTTAAAAGAAATGAATTGAATAAATCCAACTTGATTTGACAATATTTTCACAAAGATGCTTCCAGACAAGTTGACACAAACCAGTAAAATTGCTTAGTACAAAAGAATTTAGTAAAATAAAAGCATATTTACCTACTGTGTAAAATGTTAATTGATAACTGCACAGTTAATTAATCACAAAGGCTTGTATTTTTCAGCACAATTCAAGTACTTACGTGAGCAAGGCTGCCGGTTGGAGAGATTGTAAAGGGAGGGGTAGAACTGAAGACAACGTAGTAAAGGCAAGCTGGTGCGACACTGTTCACAACTGGCAAAGGATGAGAAGGAAGAAGAAGAGGACAGGGCTGCCTCCAGAATGTGGCGGAACAAGGCCAGGGCACCAGTTATATTGCTCTGTGCCAAATGCACATTCACCAGGCTGAACAGGGCGTGTGGCTGAGGAAGGAAAGCAAAATAACAGGGAGACAATATCACTTAGACTGACTTTCATATTAAACAGACATCTTACATCCAAAGAGAAAAACATGATATGCAACAATATAAATCTGTTTCCTAATTTTAGTGTTTAAAGTTACATCTGAATTAAATTTCATGACATAATGCAGGTTTCTTATGTCAAATATTACATCAGTAAGTCATCTTAAAATGAACTGAGTAAAGACATGTTCATTTCTTTAAAATAAAGAAAAATCAAATGTAATATAAAAAGCATTTCAGTATCTGTTCTGTACAGTAATTCATAAGCAATAGGTACTCAACAGCAATCACAACAGTTTAATACATTTTTGTTTATCTCAAAACAAAAAAAGTAAATGAAAAAAAGAAAAACTTTTAATCCAGCAAACAGTAAATATAAAATATCTTGTCATTTCTGAAATTAATTTGGCTTCAATAATTTTAAAATGAATAAGGTAGGTCACAATAAACAGACTAAACCCTGACTGGATTATTTTTAAAAATAAAGCTGTATAAGACGGCATATTTAGATTATATAAAAATTTAAATATCTAATAACAGTCAATGTTAATATGGAAAATGGTTGACAAACATCTGTGCCTTTATATGATATTAAATCACTTAATCATTTTTCTGATATTTCAGCAACCTTGATCAAAGCTGTGCCTAATGACGGCTTGTGCAGCTGTAGAGAAAAATATCTTCTCACATTAATGGATTTGCATGTTGTATCATGTACTAAGTTGAAGCTCACTAGATGCTACAGACATAGGCGGCAACAGATTTATCTTAAGTATCTGAGATGTTTCCACTTGATATTGTCTAAGGCGAGTAAGTTAAATGCCAAGGGAGCTATTGTATCTCATTGCTGTTGAAAGATGTATACACTGACATACAATTCTGGTTCAGTCTACATTCCTGTCTCTACTGTATAGGCATGAGAAGCCTTAAAGGTGAACGCCTTTTTTTTTTTTACATTGGGTCCTCGATTTTACGTTATTACATCATGTTCTACTCGTTTTGTGTCATTTGGAGCTGTTCCAAAGATATTCAGTGAGTTTATATCCAAGTTATGTCTTCCTTTGGGCAATGAGTTGAAGGCACAAACTAAACACGCGCGCGGATGACGTCATACACACTCCGCTTTGTTTAAAAAAATATAAATATAAAAAATATAACTGCGGATGTCTGGGGGACAGTGATTCGCCTACATGTTATGAATGCTGGCGTACCATAAAGAATACATTATAAACAGTTTAGTTTGTGCCTTTTACAGCTTTAAAATCTAAATCATCTAATACAGTCCACTCTACATCTAATTGTTCGTAATTATAAGCTCTAATCAAACCTGAACATAACTTCTTAGTGTAGAAAGATTCTCAGAAACATTGTATGACATTTAATAAAATATTTAGCATAGTTTCAAGAGACAGATTTTCCACTTGCATGTTTTTTAAAACATTTTTCCTTTACCTCAGATGTATTGAGTGTCAACACATGATCCAGCAGTTTTTGTGCGTGGGTGGGTAAACCGTAGTGCAGCAGGATGTTAGCAGCATTGGTGAGGGCCAAGTGGTGGTGGGAAGGAGGAGCAGAGTTCAACACTTGACGCAGACACTGCAAGGCACGACTTCCGTTTCCTTTGGCCTGCCAAAACAGGGCTGCCTCAAAGTGGACCAACCAGTGGGGTAAAGTGGCCTACACAAACAAACCCGTTAGTTCTTTATTAATTCTATGTACTTAATTAAGAACATATGATACTTTGAAAAATAAATGGTTGATATATTAATATAAACCAAACATTCAATTCAAATTAAAATGTTTTGTAAAGTCAATTCCAGTTATATGTTATATTTTACATTTTTAAGTATATCACATCACTACTGACAAACTATGTTTTGCAATATTTTGCTATGAGGAGATAAAACAAAGCTTTGTTTACTTCTTTCATAGCTTGTGCTATCCTGTGGCCAACCTGCTCCAGCGTAAAGCCTCCACTGTGCAACTGTAGCATCTGTAAACACAAAGATTCCCATTTCCTATTTGGTTTCATTTCAAAAAGAGAACAGAGATAAAGTAGCCGTTCACTTAAAGCATCAGATACATACTTTAGTAAACAATGAAAAAACTTCTACCTCAGATGCAAAGGAGTCTGGCAGCTTCTTTTCTTCCAGGGCCCAGTCTAACGAGGAAGGCAAGACAGCTGGATAAGGTTGAGGAACTGGACTGCAGTCAGGTGGACTATCAGCTGGGACCGGGTCAGAGCTGCTATACAGGAGAGTCGTCACTTGGCTGGAAAAGCAATTAAAAAGGGTTTAAGCATGTATGCTAAGACTATAATTTCAATGTTCAGTTAATGAGCCTCCAGTGTGTTATGTTTATTTTAGTATAGGCCCATAAATGCTCTATATAAGAGATCAATCTGTGAGCATTTAGGAGATGTTACCTAAAATTCTGATTAAACACCATGGAGGCTTGTTACTGATTACATGTCTTTCCTTCAGAGTAAAGTTATGGGTATGTGTGAAAGAAGCCTGAATTACATAGAGATTCCAGCAGTAAATTTAGCATACTGAAAAGTTCATAAATCCTGATTGGTCTAGCCTCTAGCAGGCTGGATTTCGATTTTTTTATTATCATAGCACAGTTTTTTTTTTTTTAAACAATAACTGCTTGCTTTAGAGGCAGCAATAAGCAAATATACCAATGAGCTGATAAAGCTAAACAAACCTGGCTTGAATATGAACTAAACATTAAACTGATGCAGGACACTGTCAATCTAAGTCTGCTATGGTAATTGATGACAATAGTTTTATAAACCTTTGGCTCCCAAAATGGTATCGGTGCCTTATTTGTTGGTACCCACCGATACAGATACCACCATTTTAGTGCTGGATCATGGCCCCGGCCGATACTGGTATCGGTATCGGTGCAACACTACTATCTGAACTTAATAAAACGTCTTGCCATTGCAATAACATACTTTTAGCCTGTGACGTACAAAAAGACCAAGAGAAGTTTTATTGGATTAAGAAAAGCAGTAAACTTTTACTCATGAATTAGTCTCCACTAGGTTTAGATATAAACACTGGTTACATAGAGATTTTTCTAAGGGCAGCTACATATTTAGCGAGAAGGTTAAGTTTGCAACTATAACTGTAGGTTTTTGGCAAAGAGCATGATGAAGAGTTGTGCACTAACCCAAGTCCTTGTGTCTCAGGGAACAGGTAGTGGGTTGGCAGCAGGTGAGCAGGTGGTACACTAGGGTACTTGTGGTAACAGTCTGACCTCTGAGGCCACAACATCTTCTGTGTGTCCTAAAAACAAAACAACAAACAGATTTTAGTTACTCTTTCATAAAAAAGAAACATCTTATAAGCACGAGAAAAGAACAAATAAATATTTGTTAAAAAACTGCACTCTGATAGCACCAGAGTAACTCAGTGTAAGCCTAAATTTTTTTTTAATTTCTCCACAGTTTAAAAAGCACTAGAGCTATCTAGCCTTTATCTAAATGAACCAAATCTTATTAATTTAAGAATGGTGAAGAAAAACATTGTAATATCTTTAATATTTGAATCAATGTTAATAGTACATTTAAGACAATCATTTCTGACAAGTTTTTTTTCTCCATTTAAATAGAGGGGTTCCTCAAGGCTTCGTTCTCATGCCACTGTTATCCAATAATTATCAGCTTCTCCCAACTAAAACTAAAGAGTGCTAAACCATCTATTCCTCTGAGGATGTTATCATATAACACAAACCCTGAGATACTCAAAGGGTAATAGAAATGTGTTTATATTGACAGTATTGTCTCTAGCTTAATGCAAAAATTTACATAACTACCCGGCTAGAAATCAGCTATTTAGTTGAGTCAATAAGTTTAAAGACAATTGAGAATAAAGAAAAAAATAAATAAGTGCTATCAGGGTCTTAAACCTACATAAAACTAAATACCTACATAAAAAAAAAAAGTATCAGTCTACTAGGGTTTTTAAAACGACGGATTTCTGTCAACACAGGACATAGAACAAACTGTGCATGCCTTCATGTCTGATTATTTTTGTAGAAAAAAATTGACTTCAGTTTCAGTTCTAATCTTGCCTGTGTGAAATCCTGATGGCTCCCCCAGAGCGCTGCTGCAGGATCCTGATCACCGGACACAGTAGGACGGAGCTGGGGACTGGAAGCTGTCTGGTTGGAACTGCGTTCTGATACAAGTGCCACACTGGGGGCGACAGACACCGACTCTCCAAACTTGAATCAAACAGAGACGAACTTTAGATTCAACCATCAGCCACTTCAACTTTGTATTCATTGTGTTGTTTCATTTCTCTCTAAGAAATCTCTTTAGGTCATACAGGGATGCTCTACATTTCTCTCATTTTGGTTAAACAGAATATAAACTTTTTTCAAGGGTAATACAGCTCTGATATTGCTCAACCATAGTACTTAACACCAGAATATTAATCATGACAATTTTTTTACTCTATTTTTCTTTTTTTTATCTTGACCTTTCCACAGTGCTCGCTAAGCAGTAATATCCCAGGCAAGAAGGTTTTCTAAGAATGGCAACATTAATAAACATAATTTAGTGGTGGAGAGGTTTCCTGGGGGCTTCTTTAGGGAGCGGAAAGAAACTTTATGACCAATGAAGCTTCAGTTCTCAGCTAATGCTGCTAATCTGAGTTCCTGAAATATTCTTGGCTTATTAGCTCATCTATACTGAGGCAGAGAAGGAGTGTCACTTCCCTTAACTCAATTTTATGGTAATTGCCATAATAAAGACTTTACAGCTCTGTAGGGCCATTTGCCATTTACCAAGCCTTTGTACATGAGATTCACAATAAATGTAACTAAAACACGAATAAAATAATAATAAAATTAGAATGATTCTTATGTTTATCTTGTTTACTTGAATTACATAATCTAGATGTTTATTCACCACCAAAACTCACTTGGACATGGTGGACATGTTCAAAAAGGTCACCCCGGTGATAGCGCACAGGGAGGTCAAAGGGGCAGTACAGACGGCGCTGCTGCTGACCCAGTGGGCACATCTGATGATTTCCTAAGAGAAACCAGAACATATGTAATATTGTCACATTTTCTGTGTCATAGTGTATGCACATTTACTATTCAGGTAGCCAACTTGATAGGCTTTAAAATGTGTTAGACACTAATGTTTGTTTGTTTTTTTCCAGTTCTTTCATGGCCTTGCTTAGTTTCCAGGAGTTTTGCTCTCACCAAGCTGAGCTTCTTTAGCCATTTGGGTTTCGTGGATGATATTGCGTAGAATCTGCTCCTCCTGCAGCAGCTTGTGTTTTTCCAGCGCCTCCTGTTGGCGGAGGTAGTGGTCATGTTGCTTCTGGTACTCCTTTAGTTCATTCAGTGTCCTTTGAAGGGATCTACAACCAGACAAATAAAACATTTATTATGCAGAAGAAGAGGGCAAAAGGAAAGGGAACAAGAGTGTTTAACTGTGCAAATACCCCTAACTCTTTATCAACTACATCTCTACAACTCTACAAACGTTTGCAGTTTAATGATTGAGCCTCTTTTATTGTGCTGTGCACCCAGTTTAAATTGAGACATGTTGGTTTGAGTATGAAAGAAAAGGTGCATTCCAATTTTAAAAAGAACAAAGACGCTGCTAGACCATGCACACAAGCATTGGCCTACCTGTGCTGTGCTTCTAGGCGCTGCTCCAGCTTTTGCTGACAGAGCACAGCATGTTTCCTCCTCAGGGCCTGCTCAAAGCCTGGCTGTACCTGCAGTGCCTGCTCGTAGCACAGCACTGAGTGGTTGTATTCCCCAAGCATCTGGCAAAACAGCAATAGAGGAATATAAATCAGAACCACCGATGCGGCACAGGTCAAACTAATATTTTATTTTTCTTGCAGGCATCAAAATAACAGACTTAAAATGTGTAGAGAACTGGCTTTTCTGGACCTCAGTTTGAGTGTTCAATGAAATCACATTGTGGTCAAATCTGTTCTCTAGCAATAGTGATTCCTAAAAAGAATACTCAATATTTAATTTTTTTTTTTTTACAAATCTTACTTTAAGTTGCTACATATAGAGGCATAAAAGCTTATCAAACTTTAATACCCTGTGCTTATAACCATCTATCTGATACAGACACCTGAGCCTTCAGTGAAGCTGGTTCACGTTCAGGTTTCACTTTCACTTACAGCATAGATGTTTCCCAATGTGTAATGACTAGTGAAGAGATCTGAGGTAAGGTCAAGAGCAGCGTGGGCGAGGATAGCAGCGTCGGCTGAGAAATGGGCCCGGTGCAGGATGTTGGCCATGTTTATCAGAGCTATATCCTTATGCTGCCTGTAAAAACAACACACAGTCACACCTGTGAGCTTACTCACAGGACAGAGTATGATAGTGTAGAGGCCCTTTGGCCTGCCTGCTAATACCTTGGAGAGTAATGCAAAGCACGCACTACACAGTCGACTGCCCTCTGAGGCTCATTTTTCATACGCCAGTAAAATGATGCCATGTTATACAACACCCAGGAAGAGGAATTCTGAAAAAAAGAAGAAAAATCAAAAGGTAATACCATCTTCAAAGCTCTCCATGAGTTAATGTCACAACATTAAAGCATCATTAATTTTTCATCAGCACATTTAAACTGTTTCAGAAATGGATCTAAGTGGCCTATTAAAGGGCTATATCATGCAAACTCTACTTTATATGAAAATGGAATTCCCTCATCAAAATCATGCACAAAGTTGTATTTCACTTGATTCATGCATGTTTTAGTAATCCTCATCAATTCTGCTCTGAGTGCCAGCCTCTCACTATCAAGGAAAAAGAGAGGCCATTACCATCTTATGTTGGACATTGTTAACCCGCCCCCTCCAGGAAGCACCAACCTTGACCGAGCTGCACCTACTCAGTACACAACACACCCAACATTCTGTGTAGCAAGCGTCGAAGTGAGATAGAGTGAGATCATTTCTGCTCTGAGCTGAGATGAAGTGGCTTCTTTAGCACCTAATCTGCACGGTGACAGCCACTGTTCTTTTTTAGATAAGGTCCAAGAAGTAAACATTTTTTTTATGCTACAATAAAACTTAAGACTTTGTTCAGCCCAGCTGCCAGAACTTGTGTAATACTACAAAGGCATGATTTGGGCATTACACCCATAGGGTAAGGCAGCATCGTAGTGAGGGCAAGTGAACTAATTAAATTCAATTAAATAAAGGAAAATTAATTCATCGCAAAGGGGAAATTTAATAAATCACAAGGGGAAATTAAATAGTGCTTCCAGGTTAAAGGAAAACAACAAATATTTCAGAACAAATTAATACTTAGTTGTGCCAAAGGAAATATTTCATACTTTGAACAGTATGTCTATGAGGTACTTTGGAATCAAGACATAGGTCCTTCATCCTGTCCAGATAAACATGCACTTTCAAAAACATAAACAATATAGAACCTTCAGTTAAATGTAAATACAATATATATATATATATATATATATATATATATATATATATATATGATACATAAATGCTTCGCTTTGTTTTACGTAAAATATATAGAAGTGAGGATTTGGAATGATCGAAAAGGATCAAAGTTGTAAAGAGAAGCTTTACCTTCAGAAGGCTTTGATGGATGCGGTGGCCCACTTCATCAATAGTGCGTCCAAACTTTTTGGACAAAGAACTATAAATGGGGTCATCCTTAGATAGAAGCGGGGAGGTCAAGTTTGTCCTCTCCTGTACACCCTGCAGGGAACCAAATGAAAACACTTATTACACTGAAATGTTGCTGTGCTACTAAATCAGCACATCTAAATAAAAACATTTATTTCGAGTCACTTCAAAAATAACTCTTTGTTCCAGGGAGCTTTCTAGACATAAACTAAAATCTTAAATATTATGATTTTAAATAAGAATTATGTGCAACTGTTCCAAAAATGACCTTCTGTTTCAAAAAAGCAAACAAGGTGAGAAACATTTCAGGCTGTGTTAGTGCTATAGCTTTTTGTTTGAAAACATAAACATGGGCGCCTTCCGGTAGGAGGTTGCATAGAACCTAAAACAAACAAGACAACTGTGTTCAGTGCCCTAAAAATTATGAAAATAACTGACAACGAAATCAGAGCTGGAAAAGCATCACACTGACATCACAGAAAAAAATGTCAGCTCAATTGAACAGCCTCACATAATATAATGAATTCTACGATGATAGAAAGACTATTGAGAGCCAATCAAGACCTACATTTTGTCAAATAGTTATTATTTTCATTTGAATAAAACTAAAAACAATACATCAATTGGAAATAAATTTCAATTATTTAATTTCCTTGGCACTAATAAAATATTTCTGAATTGAATATCTTTTTAAGTGTAATCTCATTGGTGAGCTTTACTGTTCTTGTCTTTTTTTTCTTAGAAACATCTGTTCTTTAGTCATTACAAAGGCCAGCACACAGAGTTGCTTGGGTTTTGTACGTAAAGGTTAACAAAACAGGCGTTAAAGTTTGAAAGCTTACTTAATTGGTGTGGACCATGACCGACTGAGCCAATCGCTTAAATACCTTTGCAAAGATTGTAAAGCATTCTGCAAGTTATTGGGTCTAAAGAAAAAAACTGAAACAACTTCTCACCCGGAGATGCTGGAAAGCATGGATACTATAAGGAAGCTCGATTATTTTTGCACAATCTGGCTCTTCTAGATCTGGTGGCAAACTGGATCGAGAATCGATATAATCCTCTGGGCTGTAATGAAAGGAGAAGAATTTGATTAAATTCATATACATGTTTCAATCTTTGGCATCTAGCGAATCCTAAAAATATCAGGAGAACCAGGAGGCCGAGATCCGTCATAAATTTTGTAAGGGCTAAAGAGGGTTTCGTCATATATGTTTTTGTTTTACTGCATCCTCTTTTTCTTTTTAGAGTTGTGGCCTTCTCTCCTTTACGGAAGCGTACCTTATGTCTTTACTCTCCAAGGAAATATAAGTGCCATCATACAGATCCAAGTCTCCCAGTGGCACCTTTGCCATTATGCAATCTGAATCTTCTTTGTAGTGTCGCTGCTCCAAACCTGTATCTCGGTCTTCATTTTCCTCAATGTGAATTTTTTGTGCTACTAACTGCTTCTGCTCAGATAAAAAACAAAACAAAAAAAAAAACAGAACAAGCAGGAAAAAGAAAGTTATGTATTGAGAATGTTCCACTAATGTCAACACATTCTTTATAGTCAAACTGAAAGAGAAATCCACATACTTCCAGCATCTTGAGGTAGTTCACACGGGTTTCTTGTCTCATGAAGATAACCACATCATGAGGATGCTTTAGATTCAAAGGAGAGTCCACCTAAATGGAGAACAAAGCTAGGCTGTAGATCAAACCTTTAATCTCGATAATTTCAGAATGTGTTTTTTTAAAAGATTTTCTTTCTTTTAACTGCACGAGAAGCAGTGGCGTTCTCTTGAAAAACAGCTTTTCATTTGCTGTTTTTGGCAATTGTGAGAGATTCTTCTAATAACATTAAAGTCAGAAAAATAATTTACCTTCTATGTTTACATTACCTCTATTTATTGTTGAATTTTTAGTATAAAAAGAACAAAAGCACTGGATGAAATAAAAAACGGGAAGTAAATTCAGACAAAATGCATGTAGGGTTCAAGACAGAATATTCTGAATTAAGTTATTGATGGTGGAATATTCTATTCTATATTAAAGTTGGTAACCATTTAGCTAACAAAAGGATTTGTTAAACGTAAATTAACTTAAAAAAAATGGCCTTATATCACCTTACGGACGTCTTTAGTATTAATGGACTGATATCTCAGGAGGATCTTTAAAAACAAATTCATTCAACCATCTTTAGTATAATTGATTACAGCCAGGGTGTCTTCACATATCTGACAAAAAAGATTATCAGACAGCTGCAGCTGATCCAGAAAGCTGTTGCCAGCATCCTCACTAAAAACTAAGTGAGCACATCAGGCAAGTTCTAGAACTGTTCCACTTTCTCCTCTTTGTCAGAGAACAGACTTTAAAAAACATATGTTAGTCTGTAAATCACTGAATAGAGCAGGTTCAAAATACATCATCGATTACAGATAGTGTATCAATGCCCAGACCTGTCAGGTCTTCTTGCTCAGGTCTAATCTGCACACCAGAACCACAACCAAACATGGGGAAACAGCTTTTAGTTGTTATGCTTAAATAATCAGGAACAAACTCCCACATTTTTTTTTTACTATTAAGACTCATTTAGTGTTAATAGTAAATAAATCCACCCAGAATACCATAATCATAACTGTCAAGCTGCCTGTTTTTGTTTTGTTATGGTTTCACCAGTAATATGTATGTCCTTTTAGCTTTTTCAGACCCAACAGTGTTTAAACCTACATCAGTTTTGAATATTTGCCAGAAAGTCCTCAGCATTTTTTAAGCATTACTTAGAGTAAAAAGAGACTTTCAGTTCTGCTTAGAAATGCTGTCAAAGCCCAAAACTCTGACACTTATAACATGAAGTGTCTGTCAAACACAGGCTGTGGCCGGTCTATCACTTAGAAATCATGCGGTCATCATATAGATTTGGCAACAACCAACTGACAATGTAACACTGTCTGACTTAATCACATCAAGCTACGGGACTTCAACATACGTGTTGTTTTAAAACCAAGGCTGGCAACATTTAACAAACAAAAAACAACATAACCGGAGCTTGTAAGTCTTTGTGGGTTCCAATAACTCCTTTATAACAGCACTATAAAGAAAAAGTCGTAATTACTAATTACTACAAAAACACTTAGCTGTTGGCTAACCAAATAACATAAGCATTAGCAGGTCAGCGGGCTAACTGGCATACTTGTTGTTGAATTTTTCCATCCTCTGTGACGACCCAGTGTGTCGTGGCTCCTCCGGAATCCACTATTAATATACAAAGAAAGATAAAAAGCTTCCCCTGAAACGAGGTTTTCTGTGTGGGGTCGACACGGCAGGGCAAGTACTCAGGACAGATTTTCCTGAGGTCCGCCATTTTTACTGTCTTCTGGTGCTCTGCAGCAGCGCAAGACTCCTGCCACTAGAGGGCGCTCGCTAACCCCAGAAGAAGTCTGAAGTCATCATCTTTGACGTAGGAAAAGAAAAACAGGAAATCCGAAACTAAAAGTTTGAGGCGTTTCAAGGCAAAGGTGGGCAAAGTTCGAAGAAAAACACGCCGGCTCCTACCGATACAAGATTATTTTTTGATACCAAGATTCCCTGGGTGTGTGTCCTCTTCGGCTTCGGTCAGTTTAGTATATGTCATCTTCCTTTTAGAATCTTCTTACTGCCGCAAAGTTCGAGGTTGCAGTTCCGCATCTAAGGCATGACAGTCAGATGAAACAATTGCTAACACTTCTGTGAGTTCAAGGTATTGTATATGTTTAGAAAACGGTTGTACATTGGGTTACTTTGTTAATAGATACGTTACTGTACGAGTTAAGTCACAACAGCTAAGGAGGAAAGAACGTTTCCAACTATAAGTCACGAGATAGTTATAACATTAGTCACTAAAAAAATGTTGCCTTGTCATTAAACAATTAGCTTGTAGATTAAAGCCTACCTATATATATTTTTTACATATGAATTAACAGACGAAGCCAGTAAATAAACACTGCTTAAGGATGAATGTGCAGGGATGCACTGGATTGAAGCGAAATGATTTATGCATGACTATAGTAGGGTTATACCTACAAAATGTTATATATACGTTTATTATCATGTCATTATATATATATATATATATATATATATATATATATATATATATATATATATATATATATATATAT